TCTCCCTCCCTCCCTCCTATAATAGACTGGGAATTGGCCTTACCAGGTGGCACACCCACCCTTACAAGGCTGCTCCTACTGAAACTTGAGGTCCTAAAACTCACCTCTCAAAAATCTTCTCTGTCTCCACAGTATCTACAAGATAAACTTGAAACTTCTAAATCTGAAATTCAAGGTCATGCCTAAGTCATGCCAAGTCACCTGCTTTATCTTTTTCAATCTATCTCTTAATGTACAGGATACCCACTCTTGCTACGTGGTTTTGCAGCATCCTTCCAAAACTTAGCAATACCAGCGTTCCTATTGCAGCACGTGGAAATTTTTAAAGTTCTTTTCCACAAAAATGTTTTCAACATGGTCTCTAAGGGCTGCCTGTTGCACTTAGACATTTTGACCTATAATCACAGTCAATTTAACACTTGATCACATGCTTTCTTTTCCTTCTTAATGAAAGTGTGAATGGGGAATACTTTTTAAATGCTTGTTCTGTCAATCACAATACTAGCACATACTACCCGGCATCAATAGATACTTAATGTAATGAATGTCATCAGACCAAGAGGAATGGTTCCCCTAGACCTCTTTGTGAAAGCCAGTAAATTCTAATCCTGTGACTCACTTATGGCAGCCCAATAAGGAGGCAGAGTTAAGAAGGGGAAGTAGCAGTGACAGACTCTTCCAGTTCCTTAACCAAACAACAGACAGACAGACACACACACACACACACACACACACACACACAGTTTTCCCTATTCATATGAGAGCTCTCATAAACACATCCACTGATGGAAGCCCACACAAACATTGCCATCTCACACTACAGAAGGTCAGAAGTAAAATTTTACTTTGTATAGCCACTAAGATAAAACAGAAATATTATTAAGATTTATGTAAGAATACTACATCACCTTTCTTTTCAAGTTTTCTAACAGTCTCCTCCGTTTCATTTTGTTTTGTTTTGTATAAAATTTTCAATTCGTCTATTTCACTGTTCTTTCTTTCTAAAATCTGCAAATGAATTTTAAATGTTTTAGTATGCTATGTTGTTTGACATACAGAACACATAATTTTTTAAATGAGCACAATATTTTTTGCAAGTCTATCTCAGCTAGTCCCACAAAAGATGTAAAAATTATATTTCAGTGCATTGAGAAAGTAGTAAATATGCTAGAATTAATGATTACTGAAAGAGATAAGCTATCTGCTTTGAAATTTCATGTATCAATCTTTAAGGAGACTATAAATAATAAATTAGATGATTCTCTAAAATATAACTCAGAGATTAAACTGTCATAAAGTAGCAGGGAGAAGCCATCACAACGTGACACATGGGGACAGTGCAATCCCCCTCCCCACTGCACTGGAATAGGCACCTCCAGATGAGCACAGCCCTGAATCGTCCCACTGGTGTCCTACCAATTCCATGCACAATAAGAACCCCCTGATGCATGGGAAGATGAGAAGTAATAAGCTTCCTTTATATCTAGCTCTGCTATTGTGAATCAGAAAAATCATCCCAAAATATGTCAAAATTGCATAAATATTTTACATCAGGAATTGATACTGTGTCAGAAGTTTTAAAATTTAACAAAATTTAATCATGATTGTTATATACTTCTAAATACATCTACACCAAAAAAAAAAAAACCCACACACACAGAGAGAAATAATAAAATTGTAGGAACATTAGCAAGCTGGGATAAAAAAAAAAAAATGTGTGCTAACCAAATGGGGGAAAAAATTGAGGCAGATGTATCATCAGCTAAAAAAAAAAAAAAAAAACACAAAAAGTTTATTCACCAATGTCTAATCAACTTTTTCTTAGTGCTTTTATTACCAGGATTTCACTTTACCTTGCATTGTTTTAGTCCAAGCGGTAAGAATAATTGGTAAATAAGAAAAGGAGCTAGTTTGATCCTAACATCCGTAAAGAAGCAAAAAAGGAAAAGAATGTAGGCAAATAGATAAAACACTCTGAATTTTGTTCCTCCCCAATTCCAGACACATAGGAAATGCCATTCAAGCAACAAACTGATGACTACACTTTCCAAATATGGTATAAGGTCAAGGACTGTATATTTTACCTGGCATTTAAAACTAGTGGGTGGGTGGGGGGACAGGTGGGTGGGTGGACAGATAAGGATCACAAGACCTAGACTATTTCAAATATTCAATATTAATAAAAGAATAAATGGTATATACCCTACCTTCTGAACATCAGCATCATGTTTCTGTTGAAGTTTAAGCTTCTCTTCATGACATTTAGCTTCTATCATTTTGGTTTTCATGTCCAACTTCAAGGAAAATATTTTAAAGGTGTTAATAATTTGCTTTTCCCTTTGGCAAAAATACACAATTAAATTAAAATAACTCTGAATATGAAAGAGAATAGTATTTTTCCACTTTTTCCTTATAGCT